AGAGAGAGAGAGAGAGAAAGCTTCGATACAGCTTAACTATAGTCGTTTCTAGTTATTATACAAGTTGTACAGGTCCCCAACCTTCTACCCTTCAGCAACATACCCCTACTGGGCCCATTGTACTGCAGTGTTGGCCCTTTAAACTCCTCTTCGGGGGCTTTCCGTGGCCAAAGGCTTCCCGAAAATCATGTTATCGTGAGCTTAGTTCGTCGGAGATTTCACCGGATTGCTGCAAGCTGCAGCAAATTACCACAATATGCAGGCGGCCGCAGGGCTCGAACTCAGTCGAACACGCTCCAAGACTTTCGTGTGGCTTCAAGCACCGGCCTTCGGCGAAGCGACTTTGGCGTCGCGGAGGCTGCCCACCACATCCCGATTGTGGACATCAATGGTCACCATAGCCTCTGTGACGACTACAGGACTGCAGTGATTGAAACACGGCGAAGAGGATTCTCGTGCATCCCTACCACATGCTTCAACAGCTTGTGCAGTCAACCTCTCCGTTTCTGTCTGTCTCTGTCTCTCTCACAAAAAACTGAACCTGCGGAGCGAGCTGAGCCCGGTGGCCGTGAGCGTCTTCCGCTCCAACTTGGAGAGCTCACCGCGGACGAGCTCCACCAGGTCCGCGAGTTGCGACGCGCAGGTCTGCGGCAAAGGGCGACTCGCTCGTTTTCGTGTTTCTGTGCTCTCCCAGCCGTAGCATGGCCAAGGCTGAGGGATGACGACAGAGAGAAACAAGTAGTTCACAGCATATCAACCCAGTTTTGTCGGCATCATGCCAAAGTGTCGCTGACAAGTCAACTACAAGCTTAAACCACAATAGCAATGCCAGTCGCATTGCACCAGACATGAGGCTGTTGGTGCATGGAGGATGTCAACTCTTGGCCACCTGATGTCGATCGCTGGTTAAGACCGTGTGTATGGCACGATAAGGCACCCCGCTACACAGAAAAGCGGCACAGATGTGGTGACCAAGACACCTTTTCGTGGCGAGCCAGAACACCGATGCAAAGACTTTTCTTGGCTCCCACTTGGCACAGTCCGAAGACTCCGCATGGCAGGTAACACTGAAGCATACTGAGCGACTGAGCGTGACACTAACTTTAATCGCGAGGCAAACAACACGCCGGAAGACGTAGATACCCGCACACAACCGACCTGAAATGTACGGAGCACCCAACCAACCCTGAATCTTAGGCTGGCCAGAGTTGGAGTCCATCAAGAGGCGAGGCTCACGAAGTAAAGTTGTGACTTAAGTGTTGCTGAGGTGATCAAACTCGAGGCTGGAAACTCCCGAGCTTCCGTCTTGCTGCTCTTTTTGACACATGCGCGCAGCATTTGACACATGCGCGCAGCAGATCACCAGCAATCAAGGGTGTGACACGAGCCGTGAATCTTGCCAGATCTTACCAAGCCACTTACCATGCCCAACAGCAAAGAGTCGTCTCAAGATCCTGGCAAAATTGCAAGCCTAGCCGAGCATCAAGTGGGTTTGCCTGCAACCCTAGCTAAGTGCCTCTTATGTTCCAACTTTCGGCAGAGGATTATGATGTTGGGCAACGGGTTTGGCTTCAACACCGTCGCCCCCCTACCTGACACTCGTGGCATAAATTGTGAGAGTTGGCGCACACCCCTTGCAAAAAATCGGCGTGCCGCCACATTTGCGGGCCTTTCTCCAAATTCAAGATCTGGTGATGGCATGGTCCATGGACTTTTCAACTGGCTGGCGTCTCTAGCGGTTTTCAACCTACTCTTGTGAAGTGCTGGTATTTAAAAAGGAAAGCTTCGCCTGGGTGCTCGGAGGCTAGTGACTGCCGACCTGGGGTTGAGAAGATGCAGAAAAATTGCAGGGAGACCTCGCCAGAGACATTGTCAGTGCTTTTGTCACGCACTATTGCATGCATCGGATCACTAGCTATTCCTGCCCCTTGAAGGCATCGTAGTTCACTTTGCCAATCGTGGTGCTTCCAGGTTGCTCGGGCTGCGGCGCTTTCAGAAGTCTGGCTCGCGCCGCACAAGCCAACCACTTGCTCACGATGATATGGGTGAAAAAGCCCAGGAAAGCCAGGCCTAATGCGGCCCAGCCTGCTGGGACAACTACTAGATTCAGGGCTTGGCCGTCTAAGCCACCGAGTTCGAAGGGGTCACCAATCTTGCTGGTGATGCTGAAGCTTCTGAAGCAGAACTGGTCTCCCAAGGAGTAGTCGGCAGCTAGAACAAAGCCCGCCAAGAGCAGGCAAAGTGACGAGAACAACACCATGAGCTTCTGCAGGCAACCCATATTGCTCCAATGGCAGGTCTCCTTCAAGGCGGGACTGAATGTAGGAGTGACACTCTGAAGCCTAGTACAACATCGAACTGCCTTGGGCCTTTAAGACTCTGAGACTGCTATGTCCTAATTCGGGACGCCCAAGCTTCCGTATTAATTAGTTTGTCCGCACCACAGATCCGAGCTGCAATGCAGCCGGTCTGGGGACCTGGGGCCCATCGGCACGCTCTCCCACACTTTCGAATCAGCTCAACCCGCTCATGTCATGCTGCAAGGCGGGGGCCAAAGAGGTGGGGAAGGGGAACCTGCTGCTGATCAGTGTCGCATATTTGTGGCGTTGAGTTGAGTCACCTACAGGTCTGGCCTCTCAGGCTACATGGAAGTCAGCCTCTGCTGCCAAGGGCCAGCTACAGGTTTGTTGGAAACCGCCGCCTACGGCAGGCCCGAACAACAGCCCTTCATCATCAAACGTCCAAGACACACAAACCCCACAGAAGCCTTCAGGGCCGCGACGTAGGCTGCCTCCTTCCGGGTGAGCTCGGCAACAGCTTCGTGCTCTGGCCGGGGCTGCGCAAGCTTCTCCCCATCCACCTCCACGACCTGTGAGGGTTTATAGTTTAGGGTTTAGGAGTCTTCCAACGGGGGTTATCTCCCTTCGTGCACATCTACGGTTGTAGTATGGCTTCAGATCTATATACTGTATACTTCTTACAAAGCCAGACCTCTGAAAGGGCTCTGTCGAGCTTCCACCGACTACTAGTATTCGCGCTTTGCCGCTCTCGTCTGCATCTGGCCCTGTGCTGACTCAAACTTGCATCTCTTGATTTTGCGAGTGGCTGCGAAAAGGGGTGCGATACTTGGCAAACATATCAGCTAGACATGGTATCCCAGGATCTCCCCTACCTTCATGATCCTTTCCCACGGGAACCGAGCGTGAACCCAAGAAGAAACGGAGCTGCACACGATGTGTCCGGGATGCCAGGGTGCTAGAACAGGCTTGTTGCACATGATGCGCTTTACGATTTGTCACGATCGCATGGGCCCAAGCAGATCTTGCATCTACGGCATCCGTGGCAGACCCGAAAATGAGAAGCTTAAGCAAATTCTGACGCCCGAACGTCCAGCCGTCCCAAAATTGGTGGTAACTTCGCTGCCGCGGAACCTTCATGATGCGGTAGCTGAAGAAGAACATCTCGGAGGCTTGCACTGTGGCAGCTGCGAGAGTCACGGCGCTAGAGACCATCGGCATGATGCCCGAGGTGTCGCCTGCAACGCAGCAACTTGGGACGATTCTTGGATGCTCCTCTGCATTCGATGAAGGTGCACGGAACCCAAAACGAACATGTGCCGCCTGTAAATGTCAGGAGCGCTCCCACCAAGCACTGCGGAATGATGCTCACGAAGATGACCGGGGTGGTCCCCAGCCTGAGGCGGCAACAGAACACACTCGTTCTTATCTGCGAATCTTGCGGTGCTGAAAAGACACTAAACCCCAGTGAAGCCAGGATGCAGCATCTGAGGGATTCTGAGGCGGAGTATACCACACAGTACCTGAGCAGCAGAAAGCCAACTGTCCGTGGAGCAGAAAGGCATGTCTTTCATCACGACAGCCGATTTGGTCTTCCTTTGGGCATGACCTGCGCTGCACCGATTAACTACGGGTCCGGGTCCCTGACCAGGTGGGACTTGCAAATCCTGAGGAAACTACCGTGAAAAAGCAGGTCAAAGGACATTAAAGGTTTGGGGATCGAGACCTGTTTGAGGGCTTGGGGAAGGGCCTATACGAAAACTACCAGCCCCCGAATGCTATTGCAACTAAGGGGCGCTTGTCGGCCAGTCTGGCCCCCCCACAAGGATGGCCACTTTGTCAATCTTAAGACCATCCTGCTTCAAAATCTGCTCCATCGCACGGGTGGGCACCTTGTCCACGCCTACGAACCTCAACAGCGACGAAGTGCGTGCATTGGGAAAGCCCTGCAGTATTGAATGCACTTCAAGGGCCGAGGTTGCAATCATGTCAACTATTCGAACCATCTTATCCTGCGAGGTTTCCTAGCAAACGCAACAGCACCCCCGCTCAGGGTATACCTTTCTCTGCCGTTGCTTATTATAAGCAAGCTACACCTTTCTCATCCTCGACATGAACAACCACTGGGTCACATTCCACAAAAGCAGGGCCGGATATTGGAAGGGGGGGGCGGGTTCTTTAATCTACATGAGCAGTTCCCAAATGAGGGCACAGAGCTCCGACAGGGCCCTTATAGCCTGTGAGGTGAGTGGCTGCTGCACCTTTACCGACTGGCCCGCTGCATAGCCCATCGCGTACTGTAGGCAGCAAGCCATCAGCTTCGCACACGAGCATACCTGAGCTCTGAATGGGGAGCTTGAGCGGCACTCCTCAAAACCCCTCCAGCTCCACTGACTTCTAGGAGTCGCTGCCGGCTTGTTGTGGCCTGGGGCAAGCGCTGGGTGACACCTCCTTACCACGTGAAGCAGGTCCAAACCCCGGCAGACCCAGATCAAAAGAAGAAATCTGGAAGATCCCGACACCTCACGGGTGCTTGCCGCCTGCACCTCAATCCCCGAACCCCGCTGCTCAGCCGCGGTGCGACAGCAGCAACAGCCACACCTGCAGGGAAGCCGATGGAGCCAGCCAGCTGCGACTGGGCGCCGCAAACCACGCCTACCAGGATTTCGGGGCTTCGGGCACGACTTGTGGCGGCTGCGAGGGCTGTTGTCGAGGAGCGTGACCAAACGAACAGCGATGCAAAGGTCAACCCAAAAGAGCGCAAGGTAAAGGCACACGGCGCTGGACCAAAGCTGCATGTAGCATTTTAGCATAAACCCGAACCCATCGGTGTTTTGCCTGATTTAAGTGCAAATGACAGCAGGGAACAGTGGGAGACAGAGTGGGCAGTGGAGACATTTGACGGGGACCGCAGAGGACAAAGGAGCTAGGGACAGTACAGTAGAAAGCAGGGGACAGTGGGTGTCAGTGCAAATTGCGACTGAAAAGCAAATCCAACCAAGAATGTGGCTATGTCCTGGTTTATTGGTCATTAGTGTAAGTGCAAAGCAGAAATGCAATTAAGCGCAAATGCCAAAATCCAACTGCAACTGAAGTTCACTAGCGTGAGTGCAGTTTTTGGGAGTAGGGGACAGTAGGTGGAGCGCAATAGGGGACAGTAGGAACAGAAAAGAACAGTGGGACGGAATAGTAGGGGGCAGTTGGAGACAGTAGGGGGACAATAGGGAACGTTGGGAAGAGTTTTGGGAAGCACAGGAGACAGTAGGGGACAGCAGCATACGGTAGGAGACAGCAGACGACAGTTGGGAACAGTGGAGGACAATGGGGGACAGTAGGGCATAGTAACATGCAGGAGGAGACAGCAGGGGACAGTGGGGAAGTTGGAAACTGCGGGGACAGCTCAGTAGGGGACAGTAGGGGACGGTCACAAATTCGCGAGCAGTAGAGCACAGTAGGGAAGTCGGGAACAGTGGCGGACAGTCTGACCATGCTGTGGCCTGCGAAAAGGTACACCGCGCTGCCCGGGACGATCGGGCACAGGAACCTGCCACAAAATTCAGGGTGATCTCAAACACAGGGTTGGAATGCACAGATACCTGAGGCTTTCTTAGGAGCCCCAGCCCTTCGTGCCTTGAGGCTCCCAGGTACGTAAAGCTTGAAATTCGTGGTGAAACAAACTATATGACTACCAGGATGATACATCGCATCTTCAGCTCCCAAGCTTATGCGGCTTTACTGCCAGGTGATCACTAGCATCATGGCAGCATCAGCATCGCCCCTGAGAGAATGCACCACCTCATATTACAGAATCGGTCAGCGGCAGGCGCAGACAACCCCCTTTGAGGTGATCATTTCATTTCATAAATTTGGACCTGTTTGATCAAATAGTAAACGACGGGTCCCTGACAAGCCAATTCGAATGAAGCTGCTGCCTTCCTGTGCCACGCTGACTCCTTTGTTTTGGGCTTACAAAGTCTTGAACCCATCTCAGGGAGAAGTGCAAGAACTGTCATGATGGAGGCACAGATCTCGAGATGTCACCCAAACCAAAGCATCCTAAACCCTAAACCCTAAACCTTAAAACCTAATGTCCTTGGCCCTTGTGCGCCCTTCATCAGAGGGCAAGGTGCATGGCCAAGCCAACTCCCCAGACCAGCAAGGCGAGGACCAGGAAGTTTAGGTTCATGGAAGCCAGCCTTACAAGGGTTTAGGGTTTCGACTCACACACTCGCAAGGCAGGCATGGCGGGTACGGTAGGGTTTAGGGTTGAGGGTGTAGGGTTTAGGGAACTTACTTGCAGGGTTTCATCGCTCAACTCCGGACTCGCCAGAACTCTAGCAGCAAGACTGGGCCCCTCCCATTAAAACGGCAGCAAGACTCGCAAGCTTCAAGAAACTGCTTGGATCAAAGGCACGTCTCGTTCAGCCAGGAAAAGAACACGTAGGTGAGCTTCATTCCTTGTACGCCGGGGAAGCAGTTCATTCCACTGGCGACGTGGAGGTCGAGTGCGCGATGTTTCGGCATGGGGAGAGCATGGGGGAGCCTTCGGAATTCTGCCACTTCTGTCGAGTAGGGTTTCTGCAGTATATGCCGAATCATGAACAGACTAAGTCTTGTGCAGACTGCCCTGCAGAAAAGTTGAGGCCGTGCCCGCAAGCAATGCCCAATTGGCGCGAAAAGATGTATGCATGTGCGCCTGGATGTTTGTATGTATTCACATGCATATGCACACGGATAAGTTTTATGTACATGAATGTGTATATGTATGCAACTGCATGTATGTACCGATGTTCGCCAGCACCGGAAACAAACACCACACTCCACTGACCCTGGAGCTCTCAAAAAATCTTTCTGCCTAAGCAGACTTGCAAGCGAAGCAGTTCGAAGTCAGCCATCAGCGGCGACACTGCACTTGGACAAGAACCGTCAAGTTTGTGTCTGCCATGATTCCGAGCAAGAGGGCCACGAAAAGCTCGCCAAGCATGTTCACCTACACGACCGCAATAAGCGATGGGACACTGGGCACAACTTGTAAGTCGATCCATGGGGGTCGGCAGCGACTTCAACGGCGAAGCTAAAACGGAAACAAGACGTTCTCTAGCTTCACTGATGGTCAGAACGGCTGTCTGGAGGTGCCACCTTCGCAGTCTTTTGATGGCCAACAACGACCCCTATGGACACGTGTTGACAGCTAAAGCTTCGATATGCTTCAACCAAAGACCACAGAACACATCTTTAAGCAGCCTGGGAGCGCAACAGGAAATCAACAGGCACAAACGGAGTCGCACAAGTCACCGAACAGCTTGCAGCAGACCAAGGCTCGAAACAAGGAGACGGGCAAGTAGTCGAAGAGACCCGAGTCTTCTGCACAAGCCCCACGTCTCACAGTTCGAAACAGTCCGAGCGTCACAAAGTCCCCGAAGCGGAGCATCTCACATGCCTTCAGTGCTACACCTGCGGAACACCTCTGCAAACGCAGGATTCTTTCGGCGAATAGCTTCACACGTAACCCCTTCAAGGATTAGGCGTCCGCCCTTTGTCTGACCCTGCCTTGAAGAAGATGTTACACCAGGCCCATGTACGCATTTCCCGCACAACTCGTCGGCCCTCCACGGTGAAGATATCAGTGCTGAGAGTGCTTCGAGTACACTTCCTGAGCAGCGGCAGAAAGGGATGAAGAAGTTTAAAGTCTTTGTGAGATTCTGGGATGGGCCAGCGGTAACCTTACTGGATATTCAGGATCGGATGACCAAATCATGTTGAGGTGTAAGATTTTTTGATCACCTGTATCCATGTCGACCACACAGGCAAACACAAGAGAGCCATAGATGGCGACACAGTGAGGCACCTCAAAATCAATTTCATTAGACTGTGCGTGTGTGTGTATGTGTCTCTGTGTCTGGGCGGGGGAGGTGTGTGCGCGTGTGTGTGTGTGTGTGTCTCATCATGGCACATCACTTCAGGGCCTCAGGATGGTAGTTTCTGCATGCCAAAACAAACTCCTCGCCGAGCGAAAGTCATGGGTATCATCAGACTCAGATGTTTTCTGAGCAAGACACTGCGTGAGGGATGCCCGCGTGCTTCCTAACCGATGGTACTCTCTGTAGGGCCAAAGGATCCACAGACGCCTCTCAATCAATCGCCTAGAACATCGAAGCTAGGAAATGTGCGAATGTTAACAGCAAGACAAATCCGATGCTGGACAGGTTCCGAACAGCCTGTCGCAAGATGTCGAGCAGAGCGATGATGGGGATGAAGACATTCCTTTGCTCGTACTCAGATTGACCCGTGACCCGGCTACGAGAGGAAAGGAGCCGCGAAAAGGCCACCCCTGGTGTTACACAGCAAAAGGTCTTCAAGGCTGTCACGAGTCAGCCCGCCCACTGCGATTGCCTTCATCCAGTCTGATTTCAAGATGCTCACCTCGCAGGGGCCAGATAGACAGATCGTGTTTCTTCTCGGATGCAGGTCAATTGCACAGGTCGGGACTTGCTGGCGGCGGGTCCGAGTCCTTGCACTTTCGCTCTCATGAAGCTTTCAGGTCTGAGAACGAAGGCCTCCTTTGCATGCTCTTAACAGCTACATCTTGTACCGACACAAATAATCGACACCACTGACACCACCTTCTATTCTGCAAAATTCCACTCAGTTGTTTGTTTCGACCCCGGCCAGGTTCTTTGCCAAGCCATCTTGAGTCGAAACTTCGTTGAGCTTGTCGAAGCCAAATCTGGGCAGCACGCTCGAGAAGCGACGGAATAGTTCGCTGAACAAGGCTGCAACAGGCCCTCACATACAATGACAGCAAAAGGGCATGGCAACATCTATGCGCCAAGGCTCTCCAGAAGCATGAATCCAAGGATTCCCGCCAAGGAAGCCGCGGCTAAGCACACGAGTCCGGCGCTCACCTCGTGCTCAGCCCTAGATTCCACTCCCGCTGGTTCGCCATGAAGCCATGAAACCCATGCGCGTCGTGTCACACCTCTTATAAATCCAAAATGTTGCACGAAGATTACCTTCAATGCGGCAGTCAACATGGGGCAGCATGGAAACACGAAGAGCGAATGCTGCGTTTTGCACCGAGCTTCTACGGCTGCAACCCGCTGCAACAAGTCGATGCACGAGCTTTCCCAGCACCCTCCAAGTGTCTCCAAACCCAGATGGAGATATGGGCTGTCTTTGAGACCCCGCAAACTCCGCTGATCTATTATCTGTTGAAGCCATTTGAAGCCCTGCCTAAAATGCCAAGTTGGCGTTGAAAGAATTCTGCACTTCATCGAGCATCGCCCAAGAGCAACAAGATTGCATGCTGACTAGCTCTTCTTACAAACCGCCGCACCCTGATCGCAGGCAACCTAATTTAAGCGCCAGGATCACAATTGGACCGTAGACAACATTAGACGACCTCATTCGCCAAGTCACGGTGACGTTGGCACCCGACACATACTGTGCAGTGTACCTCGGTTCTCAAGATCTGCGACACCTACAGGCTTGCTGCCGGCTGAACCTGCGAACGCATGAGGACTACCGCATTCCGATTATCCGACTGCCCAAACAGCGGCCCCAAACCCCTAGACCGAGCAAGCGGCATGATGGCTATCATCAGGATGACCAGAGCCAGGCAGAGCTTCAGTGCCTTCTTGACACGCGCAGCTTCGCTGCCAACTCGCAAATCGACGCCCCCGGTGGCCTGTGGGAGTGTCCAAAGTTGAAAACAGTTTCAACACGCAGCCATGGTACGAGATCTGAAGGCCTGGCCCCCTAAGCTTGCTAGCCCTGGCCGACGTATGGCCTGTGCAAAGACCCAACTGAATGCCGCGAGGATGAGATTGCAAATGCCCACAGCGCATGGGGCCGACCACTGCAGGAACCAAACCGTCCTTGGCCGGAACTCCCCAGGCCTCCCGCTTAGGACAACAGAGACACCCCATGAGCCTCCAGGCACATCACGAAAAGGCTTTGCAAGTGTGGAGCTGCTCGAGAATACTTTAAGGCAGACCAAACCCACACCTTCAAGACATCCAGGAGCCTCAAAACGAACGGCACCGATAACATGTCGCAGAGCATCTCTGATTTTGAACAGGCGGACTGGATCTGCGCACGGCCATCGTCCGAGAATGTGCTGAGGAGCGTGGCATTCTTGGTCTCGGAGCTGCAGTAGGTCGGGTAGTCCAGGGTGAAGTTCGTGTAGAAGTATGCATACACTGCCGAGTTCCTAAAGCGTGCACGTCGAAACTAGTTTTCACAAATCTCAGCAGGCAAAAGCAAAACGGGTACTATGCAAGCCAGCAGGATTATATAGGCTTCCTTGCTTGCCCGTCCCACCAAGAAAGTCCAAGGGTCTCAGCTGCTAGCCACACTCGAGTTTCTTCGTACCACATTCTGTCAGTAAACGCCATCCAACCCACCCATGCTGCTATCGCGATCAGCGCCCCGAGAATGAAGCTCGCAGCCAGACCTCGTTCTCTCTGACAGAATCTGCCGGCAGACGTTCTCTCGCAGGAGCACAGAAGACATGAAACATGACGCGCAAACCCAAACGCGCAGCGTGAGAAGCGAAGCAAAATTGAAAGGGTCATGATTGCTAACAAGGCCAGCAGCTGTTGAAGAAGGCTCGACCGCTCACCTGCCCTGGCTTGAAACACCGCCGCCGCACGATCACTATCCTTAATTGCGAGCTTGTGCAGAGGAATTTGGGCATGCTGGGCCCCAAGGTTTCTCAATCATCTTGCGGCCAACACAAACGTCAGTCCCCATTCCTTTGCCCTGACAGGGGGGGTTGAAGAATTGTCGCGAAGAGTATAGCCGGCCGTATTGTGGAACACTTGCAAATCAACAGAAGCTTGCCTCTGACTTCTTGGAGCCAAAACCCTGCAAAAGATTGCCAAGCATCATCACCACGGTAAGGCCGAGGCATGTCAGCCCACTGAGCCATGGCAGTGAGATGTGTTTCCTCGAAGCGGGAGTACAGGGCAGTGGACTACTCGGATGGCTTCGGGATCTCGGCTACGCCCATGGACTTCAAGGAGGCTCCTACTGAGCTATCCTTCAGCCGAGTGATTGTCAAGGGGTGGGTGTGTGCTCTGTCAGCAACCTTGACGCACATGGTCAAAAGATCAAAGCTTTGGGCACAATCGCCACTCCTTCCTGCCATCCGCGATCCGCAGGCAGTGTTACAAGCAGAAGAGCGAAAGCTACGAAGAAAACTACGGAGATTCCGGCACGTGGAGTTCCACTGCATTCGTCGCAAGTCTGTCAGTTCCTGGCCGTACATTCCGACCGGCAATATTGCAAGCAACAAACATTCGTTTCGCGGGCCGCTCCCGTGCGCGCACGGGAGTCACTGAGGCTCTGCATGTGATTCTGTCCATCATCAACCCCTTACAACTATCTGTGCGGCTGGCACTGCTGCAATCTGAATCTGCCCCATCCAAGATCGGGCAGGTGCTATAGATCAACCGAATGCAACATCTTCCTGCTATCGATGCTGACCCTGTCCCCTCACCCGGCAGAATCTCGAGCAACACCGAGTGATGATGCTTGGTGCATGGAACCGAAGTATAGGTTTAGCATCCACATTTGTTGTACGTAGCAGCTTCCACTGCGGCCGTAGCGTCATAGATGCAGCCGCGAGGAATGCACACGCCATGATCAACCCCACAGGCAGCTGCACCTTCCCGGTTGTGGTCGCAGAACCCAACGCAGGCCACGTGTATCTACTACAAGCACTCCCTTATACCGGCCATGCCGAATGGTAGCTGCTCATGTGCCATACCGTTCTTCCTCCAGGGCCGTTTGCGCTTATGGAAGACCACGGCTTTAGATTTTCGGCGGCAGTCGCAGCTTTTCGTCCAAGCAGCATAAAGCGGTCGAGTGAAGAGGTCGATGACAAATGCGAAGATTAGAAGCAGCAGGCAGATCCCACCAGCGGCATTGCCAAGCATGTTGATCTGGCTGTCGGCCTAATGGTTAATCGAAGGTGGCATGCGAGTTCCGTCCGATACGCATGCAGGCTGTGTAATACTTCACGAGCCAAGACTCTCTAAATACACGCGCAGGAGGGTCGAAGGAACCCTATCTTGCATGATAGCATACACTTTATTAATTAGGCTGTCACCAGCCTATTCCTATTTCCTGGTGCCCGACGCGGGGTTTGAAAGCAACCGCCAAGTTTGAATGCTCGCGCGGCAAGGTCAGGAACCTAGGCCTTCGCTTCACGGGTCGACAATCCTGCGGTTGATGATATAACCATAATAAGGAAAATACCATAATTCCCCTAGCTTAGGGTTGTTAAGGTAATTATATCATCAACAGTATCAACAGTAGTTCACAGCCCGCTTGGAAGTATAGACACACTTCTCATGTGTGCATCTGCAGCCGCGTATACATGTCAATCTCGGATAGTGTACTCATGTTATCTGCATGTTCTTATGCCCAACCCTTTTGAACGAGGTCTCTCTGAAGTGCCTCCAGCACAACCCTAAACCCTAAACCCTAAATCGGGTTCTTACACCCGAGCCATGGAAGCGATTGCGGTCTGGTGACTGCTATCTCTGCGACCTTGATCCCCGCTCCCATGCTGGAAAAGGCTGCAACAACGATCGCTTCTGGCAACCTGCACAGGAATTGGTGGTCAAGTCTACAGTACAGTACAGCAGAGGTTCAGGGGAAAGGTTCCCAGTACATCAGCCTCACCTTCTGTTTACGCAGCCAGAATGGCGGACAGTAGGAACAAATTTGCATCGATGGGTCGAGCTGTGGACGTGACAGTTTCAGCGAGGACCGGACCGCAAGCAAGGCGTGATCTTGGAAGTACAGGGTCTGAGGCGGCCGACTCTGCGGCGTCTAATTCATAGCGCCTCTGATACGACTTGAACAGGCCATCTTCGGACAAGCCGCAGAATTGCCACCAGCGTCGCAAGGACCACCACCCATGGTGGGGAATGTTCTTCTTCGGCCGGAGCCATGGCAGGGCCGCAACTAGGCAAGCCACTGCAAGCAACACTTGAAACACAAGGAAACGTAAGAGCCCTGTCGAGTCTAGCAGTTCCAAAACGATGGGACAGAGGTGGGCTCATAGTGGAATGCATGCTCCTGTTATCCACGCAAGACCACTCTGCCAACATGAGCCTGGACAGCATCAGGAGGTTGCCTGCTGGGACCCTGCCTGCTGCTTGTTGCACAACAGCAAACACCTCAACCCCAATGCGCCTCACACCAAGCATCAGCTGGCGCAACCCGAGGCATGCGACAAACAGGCTCTCTTCCGGTTCGAAGGATGGATATCACGTGGTCTGGAAGCAACAAGGAGAAAGCATGAACCCACCCCCCATGCCCAGAAAAAACTGTGTCATGCGAGACGAGACAGCCAGAAGCTCAGGGCTCCGAACAACAGCTAGCCTGGTAGTAGTTGTCCAACTTCCCCTTCTCGATTGCTTCCGCGACCTCTTGCGTCCAATAAATATTGTCGACCTTGGTGAACTCCAACAGCCTATGGTCGGCTCGTCGTCTCATCTTGGCGATCTTTCCGGGTACTTTATCGTCAAACGTGACTTGTTCTAGATTCCAGCCACCGTGCCGGCGGTGGAGCACTGCAGAAGTGCTGACGGCTGACACAAGTCATGCGTAGCACCCGTGGTCAAGTAAGCCTCAGCCTCGAACTGCCCCGATTTACATTTGTGCCACTGTGCTCCGGGCTGCGATGACAACCTGCCCTGGCCAGGAAAGGACCTGCAAGCACTCTTCCACTGGAAGTGTTCAACTGTTCCGTTAGGCTCGAACAGGCAGCGGTGCTGTCTTGAACGTGGTGTTCCGTAATGCTGTGAGAGTCCGTGAGGCATTCTGTGTCCTAGGTTGCCCAGTGTCTGCGGGAGATCATGCGGCTAACGAAGTCACCAACGAGGCCCATCGTGAACGAGTGGAGATGCAACAAGGCGAGTCACTGTCACTTGCTTCGACAACACGGATCAGACTGGGACCTTAATTCTTCGAACAGTCATGAGTTGTGACCAGTTCGCTCGCAAAGGCTCCATGAAACTCCACCTTCAGCGAAGCTTCAAACTTGTTACGTGAGCTTGAAGGAATTCGAAAGCTCGGTGATTTCTTGTAGCTAACGCAAGCTCGGAAAGACACCCTCAAGACAATTCGCCAGGATATACCACGATTCATTTGAGGAGACGTGGCTTTGCTCTGGCCTGGACTGATACCTCCAAAGAGGTTCTGAGCTCAAGGCCCACTTGCCCCGCTGCGTCTCTGCATAGGAACGGACGGAGTCCCCCATGATCTGGATTTTCGGTGCTATCCGGGGAAGGAATGATTAAGGAGTTGAAACAAACCTTGTCTTCAAGGTTTCGGCTCTTGGCAGGCAAGGCTCCACATAGTCTTCAGGGTTTGGAGACTTGGGAAGACGAGCGTCGATGGTGTGTTTGAAAGGCTTCAGGTCTTTGGTTGCCCCTCTCTGGCCAATAGTCTGTGTACAAGACGATCCTCGGCGACCTGCAGCCTTATGCGGTTGTGCGCCTCCGAGACATCGACATCTTGCTCAGGTCTATTATGACCTATACAAACCTTCACTGCGACGACATGCCTCTAGGAAGCAGCAGTGGGGCCGACCCGGCGACCGAGCATGTATACTTTGAAGGGTTGGCTCCGGAGAGAAACTGAACTGCACTCCATCCCACTTCATAAACGGCCTTGGTCAGGGTCTTGATCATGGATTCCTGCGCGGTGCTTTCTGGACAGCGACGCTTAGCCCCCATTTGGCAGACGTATTACCGCTGCATGGGGAATTATGGACGACTCCATACTCCTCACCTCCACTTCTGCCACTTGGACTTCATGTGCCGTACGACTGACTACCACAGCTGGAAATGCATCCCGATGTTTCCTGCACTTCGAGCAGCCAGCGCTCCACGTTGCCCTTTTTCTCGCCCTCGTTGACGTTGACCTGCGGCAAGTCGCAAAGGGCTTTAGGGTTTAAGGTTTTTAGGGCTTAAGGCTTTTGGGGTTTTTTTTTGCCTCCCACCTTGCTAGGACGAGCCCGCATTGCAGGGTACAATCCTTTTGGGGTTTAGGGTTTTAGGGTTTAGGGTATTCCTGAAGTTTACCATTTTTGAGTGGCCTGGTTGATGAGCTCCACCACTTCACCCTCGACGGACAGCATCGCTTCGATGATTTCAGAATTGCCATCGAAGCGAACTTTGTTGATGCCTGGTCGAATGGAACTGAGGGAAGGACTTTAAAGCGTAGGGTGTCTTAGGGTCTTTTCAGAAACGCATCGAGGCTTGGGTGTAATGCAGGAGTGAGGAAACAGATCTCCCCAAGATCAACCGGTTTTCCCATGAGCTCGCGAGCCGGTCTGTTCCGCCGGCCTTCGAAGCACTTGCCCATGTGCGGCTGCACGGCCGTCGGATCCTGCCAAGACAAATAGCAGCGACGATGATGAGGACGATGGTGATGAGCAGCATCGAACCATGAAAAGGGACTAACTACGTAGAAGATTCCCTCCCACTTCGACCGTCACCTGTGTGACACTGTACTGTCACACTCCAGCGGGTCGCCACTCCGGATCCACCATCAAGCCCCTTGAACATGATGCTTGAAGCACCTGGAAATTACAATTAAAATGCCTTGGGAACAAAAGGCCACAAGATGCTGAGCGAACGAACATTGCACCAGTCCGAAAAAGATTCACTTCAGTTCCCGTTGAGTGCGTACACCCTGGCTGGATGTGAACTCGGACTTCCTTGGTCTGGGACAGGATCATCAACAGCTCGTCGTTAGACCTGACAGCATACCGCACACGGTGAAGGTGAATGGGTGGCTGTTCTGAGCATCAGATCTGTCCTTCCTTCGGGTTGCTGCTGCACCCCTCAATCCGAAAGCAGCGCGAATCCTCAGCCTCGGAACGCTACGACCGGATCCTGGCTGGGGCATGCGCAAGAAGAAGAATCGAGGGAAGGCCAGTCGCTTCGTCTCCAAGTAGTCGTTCAAGCACTTCTGGATCTGGTCGAGCCTTGGTAGCTCATGGGAAGTTATGTTGCTTCCAGATTCTAGCTGTACGGAGACCGGCGTGCCGGGATGTGTACTCGGCATCCTGTCCGTAACATTGCACATGACCCCAAGCACCTCCGCCGTTCCTGGTTGCGACGGATCAAGCGATGACTGGGCGAGGAGGGGCCCCAGTGCTCGCGTCCGAGCATGTCCACTTGTCCGCCCCCTTCCCGAGAAACCCCCATGTAAACCGGGGCTTTGTTACCGTTCAAAGGGGCCTTTCCTCGGTGCGGCATCCACAGTGAGGGCACATGCTGACCACGTTTTGTCTCGCAGTCGTGGGACTTAGTGCCAACCTGACGAAACTTTCAGAAGGTCCATCATCGTACCTGCAGCATCTCGCCAAAAGAGGCTCCACCGGTGAGTCATCCTCGGCGAGAGGTGTTTGCAGTGTTTAGCATGTTGAATTCAACTGGGACATTGCCAGTCTTAGAGCCACAGCTCCTGGCTGCTCAGGGCACGATCACTGCTGGGGGGTTCGAGTACCTCGCCGCATCACCGGTGATCCAATCACCGATGTCCTGGTTCACACCACCGTTGTAGGCCTTCAGGTCGCAGCGCTTCACCATGAACTTGAAGTTCCAATGAAAGCACTTCTCGTCCAAGCTGCAAGCCTGTGCACAGGAGACGGGGTCGGTCACAAAGGGGATGTCGTTCAAGTAGTCTCCGTAAAGCCAGCACCCCCTGCTTGCTGGAATTCCCTCCTTGGCCAACACCTCCAAGTATTCATTGCGAGTGAAGGCCACCAGCGCACCGCCAGTCAGCTCCTCGGGTGGCTCGATGACCGGGGTCACCGGGGCTGCTGGCACCGGGGCTGCAGGCACCGGGGCTGCTGGCACCGGGGCTGCTGGCACAGGGGCCGCTGGCACCGGGGCTGCTGGGCTCTCCTGAGGTGATGCCGGCGCATTGGGAACTTCCTGCCCGGAAACCACCGCCACGGCCACGGCGAACAGGGCAATCATGGGGCGAGCCATGGCAACAGGTGCAGGCGGCAGCTCTCAAACTCGAAAGGATAAACGGCTCCGCAGACACGAGACATCAAGTTTGATTGGGGCGAAGACTCTCTGTCCGTGGCAGCTGCCCGAGGCTGAGAAGTGCTAGAAACGTTGAGGCTCGGATCAATCCGGACCCTGCTCTTACCAAGTTGGGCAGTCTGTCCAAACCGGGCATCACGAAGACAAGACGGCCCTGCCTGCTAAGTGCATATGTCTTAAGACGGAAAAGCGATTAGCGAGAATGTGCTCAAGTTTCAATACCATGCTCCGGCATCTACAACTGACCCTGTGACCCGCATGGTCTGTACCAAATCATCTTGGCGAAGAACCCGACCGAACACCTCAAATTGCGTCTGCCCTCACATCCTACTTACCCTATCCTGTACTACAGCCAAAGGAGGACTCTGGGGCAGCCCACTTCTTGTTGGCATCCGTAAAGTTGACCAGCAAGTTCTCGATCTCTGTCACATCCAAGACCTGAAAGGCAGGTCGACTGGGTCGCAGGTGCATACCGCATACGGGCCTCGAGAGAGAGAGAGAGAGCAAACCGGAGCTTTCACAACAGGTTGGATCCGCTCAAAACTCAAGGGGGCCGCGATAGCCTTCGTTGGAGACTGGTGCTTTCAATCGCGTTTTTTTGTTGCGCAGGGCAAAACAATCTCCTCGAAGATGGGACAGCGACCCCCAAGCTGAAGTCTTGAACGGCCTAGTCTAGCATGCCCTGGCTGTTCTGGGCTTTCTGGATGTCAAGAAGGGACTGCCCCAGTTCTTGAGGGCTCGGGGGCCCCTGGTGGAAATACATGTTCTATGGTTGCAAGCACCACAAGGCCTGAATCCAGTTTTTGTTCAGCAGATCCGGGGTGCCAGCCGTCGGATTCTCATCCACTGCAGCCATTGTGTCACGCCAGAGCCTCGGGAAACCGATCCGTAAAGCCTCTTTCTACAAATATGCGTCGCAAGCTCTAGCTAGTTGTGCCACTTGAGCCTCTGTGATGCGCCCGTTGGTGGAGAACCCGGTCCCTGTTGCATCATGCTTTGTGTCCCTCGTACATCCTGGCCATGCTAAAGTGTATGTATGTATATATATATAATATATATATGTATATATATGTGTGTGTGTATATATATATATATGGGAATGCTAAGGGTAGCACAGGATTCGGTTTCAGGGCAGAGATCTCAAGGCCGATCATGCTGCAGGCGGCATGGACGGCAGCACGCAGTGCCACTGCATGACAGAGCCAAGGCCACAGCTTGTCCACATTTTGGAACTTTGTGGCTTCCCCTGGCATTTGTCTGACCTGGGCAGGAGAACACGCGATCACCAGCAGCCGCTGGCAGCATGGGTTCTCTTGAGAACTATGTCCTCCCAAGGCCTGAGACTCAGTGCTCCTTGAAATAGGGGACATCTCTTAGCTTGTATCGGGCTACAGCCAAGGATGGCCAGCATGTCAGCAAAAACACTCGAGCACCAAGAGCCGACCTGTTGCGGTGTCATCTGAATTGAAGGCCAGACCAAGAATCTGAAGTGCGCCGAAGGCCCTCCCCCCGAGGAGATTTGGGCTCCCAGCGATGTCTTCAGAGCTGAAGATTGGCTCCAGGTAGAGCCATGTCCTGCCACAGCTTCTTGAGAAGATACCACTCAGCTGCACAACAACTCAAAACCAGAGGCCAGGTCTAATGCACATCACTGTGGAGCTTGGTGCGGTGCGGCTTTTGTATCATCAAAGAATCAGAAACCCAAAAAGCGGATCCAGTACCCGAGCCCTGGCAGTCACACCAAATCCTCTCACATCCTTACTTCAACTGCAACAACTTCACTGTCATATTGCTGTCCCCTGACTCCTCGAGTCCTGGACCCGCACGTGCTGTCCGCTTTGGCTTTTGTGGCCCAACCCCGTCCCCGGTCATGGCCCAGGCACAAACCACGCAAAGTCTTGGACGACCACGGATACTTACTCCTTCACCCTACTCGTAAGCCAGTGGACAAGGTTCTACAACATCCCCTCTTTGGACCTGTGTACGTCTGAAGTTCGCCAGAGGTTAAAGCCATTTCAATGTGGTGCACTGCAGCCAAGACTGACACCCCCCCCCCCCACCCCAGATGGCCCGCTGTCCCAAAAAAAAGAGATCCGCTCAATCAAGAAAGCCCACTTCAGCTGAGCAGACTGCAACGTATGGTACACAGATTCAAGATCAGCCCTTAGCTCGCCAGCTCCCGGTTGCTACATGCCCGTCGCCTCTGAACCATCAGCCACTGTTCCAGTAAATCCTGCGACAAAGGCTGTGCCAAGTCTGTCTGTTTCCACAGATGCACCTAGCATTGCACAAGGAGTTTGAGCCCATCGGCACGACACGACGGTCACTGCAAGGCAGACCGACTGCTGTCTGAAACTACTGTGCTGAAGGTAAGGAAGGAGCTGCTGCATCAAGAGGGTCCGGACACCAAAACAGCAACAGGACACCACGGCCTGGCCAAAATGCACCTAATGAGGCTTCGGCGAAGCTGTCACGACTGCGTTATGCCAACAGCGTCCTGGATGTAGATGAGCTTGGCTTCCCAGTCCTGCAGGAACAGCCAGAGAGTCTCATCAGCACTCCAAGGCAGCAGCACTCCGGACCTTCACCTCCTTCTCGATGGGCTTGACGAAGGGCGAGCCTCGAACGGCCTCGGGAGGTTGAGCCATCGGAGTTTGAGACTCACCAGCGATGCTCAGGACATGGCCTTGCACACAAAAGGGCGTCACAAACCCTCCCGCCCGGCTTCCTCTTGGATTTGGCTGTGTAAGGCTTTTGCTGCTGTAGGGGGTCGTGGCCGACAGGTGTCGGCTGTCGTGAGTTTTGCGTGCATCGAGCCCCTAACCCCTGCAATGTCCCAACAAGTGCAATTCCAGCCACCGTTCTTCCATGACTCCATGCCCCTCTCCCTGCCCCCCTTTCAGCGTTCGACTCTTGCGGGCCTGGGTCTTGATGATGTGATCGTCCAGGAGAGCCTGCACATCGTCAGCTCCTTGCCGTCATGGAGCGCCAGACTTCTGAAAACCTGGTTGAACCGGAAAGAAGCCTTTGCGAACACCCTCATGGGGGAGCTTGCAGGAGAGGGTTGGCATTTACGGGAATTGAAGTTTTCCCACGGTCGAACCACGTGTGCAGTCTGTGCCTGTGTCTGCGTGCGTGAGTGCCATGCCGACGCCGTACCGGGTCCATCACCGGGCAAGAAATGAAGCTAAATCTACCCTGGCCCTCTGATGTCATGGTCATCTGAAAATCCCCATGCCACCCCATAGGCTCCGTCCTTTGAGAAGAAAAGTGCCTGTGTTCTTGTAGGGCAGGGTTCCAAACCTTGGCTTGCTCATGCTCAACGTACTGGTTTGAATGGGTCGCCACGCTGTACCCATCAATTCATGATGCACATCACAAGAGCGGCCTGCCCTGACTCGAGACTGACCTGAATTCCTTAGCAGTTCAATCCTGAAAGCTGTGGTATTTACCATCGGCCAGGCGACGCCATCGACTTCCATTCGTTCTTCATGGTTTGGAGTGCCACCTCTGCAATCAAGAGATCACAGCGGTCTTGCCCTGCCTAAGCCCTAAGGCCATGTACCAAAGAGTCTTTTGCCCCACCCCGTCAAGCAAATGCGCTGACGCGCTTGAGCTTCACAAGGCTTCCCCATCACAAAGTACCCCCAGCCTTCAATCCATGCTGCTTCTGAGCCGACGTGCTGATGGCTTCCACCTGACATCGGGAAGTAGGGATCACGGCAGAAGATCCGCGACTCCGAGGTTTTGGCTGGTCCAGGGGCCGGTAAAAGTAAAAACCACAAGGCAGCCCGAAGGGCCACGAAGTAGTTCAGTGGTACCAAACCCTTCGGCATCACTCCCGTTGCTTGTCTTTGCGGCTTCGCGTGGGGGGCCGGAGCCTTCGTGCCCTGCCGACAACAGGTCCCTTGAATTTGCCGGAATGCACTTCTGTGCGTACGAGCACCCCCAATCGTTCGCAAACCAACAAATGTACTGTAGTGTGCCTTGTCGATGTGGTTGAGCATACCTGCCTCCAAGCACCTGACAATCTGTTCGAAAATCCATATCTGCTAATGCCCTCATTCCTTTGCACCCTTCCTTTGTCACATGTTCAGCTCTACAGGATTGAAGTCAACATCACTATGCAGATTTCCTGGTGACCATCGCAGTCATAGCATGTGTCTGCATTCACGCTCTGGTCGGAAAGCGCCGCTGTCACGTGCAAAACACGACTCCATTGATCAAAGCGGCATCGTTAACGTCAGACCATCCTCCATATCGATGTCAACATCCATATCCTGGGGCAGTGAGGGACCCAACGTCACTCTCTCGCGCATTGTCTCGATCGGATCAGAACCGAACCGCGCAGCGGCACCTCAAAGAGCTGAAGGAGGTGCGAGGTCTTGATGGCCGGCTGGCAGAGCCCCTAAGAGCAGATGAGCACTGCAGATGCCCCCAACATCTCTTTGCCGCAGCTCCAGCGCGCCTGGATGATGGGCATGTTCTTTTTGAAGGCCTGCACGGCGCTTCTGAGCTCCTGCAGTTGATTTTGTTGGAGGAGGAATGGCGAGAAACTTCCAGAGACTGAACAACAATCCGCAGGCTTGCGTCTACCTTTGCTTCGGCTTTCGAACGCCTCGCTTATTGGGTCCGCTATCCTTGAATGACTCTCCAGTGCAAGACGAGAAGACTGAGGCTGACCGGTAGGGAGAGAAAGCGAGCATCCAGGCAGTCAAACGCGACGCTCGGCTCGGGTCCTGAGCCACCTTTTGTGGATTTGGCGACCCCTCGAAGGATTTGAAGGCCTTGTAGGAATCCTGGCAGTGGCGCGAGAAGCTTTGCTGCCTGAGACCTCGGACCTAGGCCTGTGCAGTCGTTGCACAGGTGGCCGGGGTCCTTGAAGTTGTCGTCGACGGTCTGTTCCACTTCGTTGGCTGTCAAGTTTGCAAGCTTGCCGCTCAGCCATTCCTCCTCACACCTCGCCGCGTCACAAAAAACTCAATACAGATCAGTAGGATGTTCGATTGGTGTATTCACTCGCTAAAGTAATCTGGCTCAGGCTGGACAATCTATGTAGAGCGAAGTAGGGCGAAGGAGCCTGTGATCTGTCTAACAACAAAAGATGCATAGCATTGGGGTTCACCACAATATCCGAGGACTCTGGAAGCTCCAGCCAGAGACTTCAGCAGCTGTCGCAGCTGCACTTATCCCAACAAACCAGTTTTGGGAACTCAGGTACTCACCCATTGTAGTCGATGGCCATGGACCACAGGTCAAAGTAGGGCTTGAACTCATCCTGGAGAACCTTGGAGGTTGTGAGCCGCCGAGGTGCAGCTGGGTTTCCAAACAAACATCTATATATATATACATATATATATATATATTTTTTTTGTTTATTTATATTTCTATCTGTGTATCCATCTATCTATGTATGTATGTATATATATATATATGTCTGTGTGTGTGTGTCTGTGTATGCATGCATGCATGTATGTATGTGTGTGTATCTATGTATGTATATACATATATATATATATATAGTGTTGTCTCCCGTAGAGCGTCAGGCCCGGCCTCGAGATCAGAATAATCGCGCTGGTCGATCTGAAAGAGCTTCTCCCGGTCAGAGAAGGACTTGACCTTGCTATTAAAGACTTCACTGGAAGCTGGCGTGACCTGCAAATGCTGTACAAATGTCGAAAGGCAACGACAAAGAAAGCCATTGACTAAGCTGATCTTCTGTTGCCTCCGCTTACGGCTTACGGGATTACAGGTGGCGGCTACGTGCCCTTGGTGGAAGAGGCACTGATTTCGGCTGCCAGAGGGGGCGGGAGAGGCTGAGAGATTCAGAGAGCCCCAATTCATCGATCCCTGGTCATGCAATTACAGGAACCATCAGAACCGACCCCCTACACACTAGCCACAACTCCTTCGAGGCTAACAGGTGAAAGGAGATCTGCACCGACACCGATTCAGCACAACTCATGTAAGCAGCCATGCGGCCGGAAACCTGCATGAGAATTTTTTTGAACTTTCTCAAACACTGAGAAGGTGCAAATTATCAGGACGCCAGTGAATCTCCTATCCCTGACCACTCTCCCTGGCCAGGATGTCAGCTGTCAGGCCTGTCAGGCCATGATTCACGGTTACATAATGCCGCAATCCTGAGTCGCCTCCAAGCGTCCGGCCCTCTCCGTCGCTCTGACGAGGTTGTCCTGCGAACGCAGGGGGAGTTGGCGAAGGGCTTCTCGGTTGCCGAAGCTGTTGGCACTGGTGGAAGCGTGGCTGATGGCGGGCTTCCTGGGCTTACGGCCGGTTCCAAGACTTCGGGAGCATTCGCAGAACTGCCTCTGATACTTTCTGAAAGTCACTGAAGTGACTGTCTGACATAAACATGCTTGAGTGGGGAGGGGGAGTGACCACAGCTCACATGCACTGCGGCTGACTTACTTCGCAGGCTTTGGTAAGGATTCGTGTTCAATTTAGTCACGACAGGCAGCCATACTCATGCAAGTTCATAGTCTTCCAAACATACTCTTTGACACTCCTTGGCACGGGCCGTTATATACTGAGCCATAGGCTAGCGCTCGTATCGATGGGAGAACTTCAAGCCCGAAGTCCGATCTACCCTGGGCCCGGGTTGCCCCATAGCAAGCTCTCCTGTAGCGAGAAGATCTTCTGCGCTACTTGGCCGGCCACGGCATAGGAGTCCAGGCCCTTGACCCATTCCAATTCCTTGGGGGCTAGCCACATTGTCGAAGCTTTTATACTTTTTTTTAGGTCAGTGGGCTTCTAGAATTGTCCTGCAGTGAGTTGAAAGGCAGACCTGGGGTTGAGACGGCAGAGTAGTTCTGGAAGTCCTTCTGGTACTCCTCCACTTCGCGCTGGAGCTGCTCCTGTAGTACTGTAGTAGGCATGGAGGCAACGCACAACCATAAAGCACAAGAAGACCGGTCTGTCTAACCCTGCAGAGGCTGACAGGAGCAGAAAGACCCGCCGCATTCCAAGGCTGCGGCCATAAAGGCGATCTTGTCTTTGTTCAACTGGCGGTCGGCCCTGACAGACGTGCAGCGCGGGGGCTTCCCCCTCTCTTCACCGGGCCGGCTTTGCTTCCCTCTGATCATCCTGAAAAAGCGAGGGCTTGGGAGTCCGGTCGTCCGAGAACGACCGATGGTTCTCTTCTTTTTCGACCGGTGGAGCACCCAAGAGAAACGAGAGACGACCGAAATTGGCAGGAAGGGAGCGTAGCCAAGCCCGTGGCTCCATGACGTCCATGTTGATCTGCAAAGGCCACTCGAACCTGAGCTTGGGAAGGGCTACCGCTGGCGCTCCTCTGGAAGACCGTGCACAAGCGAGTCGCTTCAGAGTCTGCCTTGACCTTTGTCTGTGGTGCCGGAGCCTTACAAAGGCCGCAGCGAGCGGAATGCTTTCTCCACGACTTCGCCACCCACCTACCAGGCGTGACTGTGCTTGGGTCCAAGTTCGTTCGTGACGCTCTGGCTGAATTTCAGCTCCAGGATGTGTAATTCAAGGGGAGGCGACCTACTTCCAGAGAGCCAAGGACAAATCCCGAAAGGGATGCAGGGATGCACTGTCTGCACAGTCTCGAGGAGCCCGCGTCATGGCCAAAGTCCTCGACCATGTTCATCTGCTGGTGCACCACTCGAGTGCGCTCCTTGCGTCAGGGTGTGAATGGGTTGTGTGGAGCTAGAGCTAGTTGTTCAAGAGATGCACAGCCAAATACCAGACCTTGCCGAGATAAGGATAAGGCTTCTCAGTTTGCTGGCAGGGCTGTTGTTGGTGCCGAGCACGTTGCGGATTCTGCTTTGACGATATCAGGCCCGTCTTCGGCCCAGCAGGCATTCCCACATCCGCGCTTACTCCCTGACGAGGCTGCAGCCATCAAGGGCTTCACCACTTTCTTCTGTACCACCTCCATGAACTCACGGAGCTCCGCCTGGCATCATGAGATCCATGTGAGAACAGGGCGGAGAATGGAAGAAGCACGCTGCAAACCCAGGGAGGTTGACAGGACAAAAAGTCTTTGGAATGGATTTTGCATACTCGTGCTCGTAAGCATTCCGGGGGCGATACCATGTCTTTCTCCGAGTCCGGGCTAGCGAGGATCCGCTTGTGCGTGGAGTCCTTGCCCAAGGCGGCGGGTCGCATAAGAATGGTCTTTCACTGCTCTGTCATTCCGTCACTGTTTCGCTCCGTACTGAGTCGAGCACCCACTCTTCCAAAATGGCATCTGCCCTCTCTTCAATGTTGGCGTTGCACTGCCCTGGCCGAAAGACTTGCAAGCCGAAAAACTGGCAGCCGCTGCGCGATTCGAGCTCTGACGACCCAGTGGAAACCACTACACCCTGCGATGTCAAGCTCTGAAGCGAAGGAACGACCACCGGCTCAGGCTGTGGCGAAGGCACTCCTGTGCCAAGGCTTCGGCCTGCGGAGGGCCATGTGCAGCATTTATAATATAATGTGCTGCTATTGCATAGAGATGACCAGAGGTTGAAAGTCCGAAGCCTTGCAAAAAAGCCAGCAATCCTAGGGGCCAGGGGCTTCTGTGGTGGCTGGCTCTTCTAGCCACAGAGAAGAAGCGGTCGAGAAAGCCCGACGCGTTTCGACTAAGACTAGACATGTGCTCGAGGTTCTTGTTCGTGAATGGCGGCATGTGCCGAAGTCCTGCATTCACAGTGTCAATTTCGTCGCGACCACTATCCACAACATCAACGAGAACATGGCGACCCAGACCTCGGACTTTGTTCCTCACAAAGAGCTCTCGTTGTCTTAGGAGCCTTCTCAGCCAACATCTGAATCATGTCGGCGCATCGCAGCCGAAAGAAAGGGAAGTCCTGCGGACACGAAGTATGCTTAGCTTGAATTCAACATCAGCACCACGGCTGCAGTCCTTGAAGCTCTCAGAAAGAACTTGCACTTCGTACTTCGCATTTCGGTAGCCCTCGATGCCTCGGGTTTCTCACAGGGCACGAAAGTCTCAACTCGGAGCAGTGGGTGCAAACTAGCTGCTACATTCTTCTCCGGGCATCCGGCCCCGTTCTCGTAGAGGTTTTTTGGGCCAAGGCCTGAATAGCCCTTTTTATGGCAACACCGCGGCTCGGGACCAAGCGCGCGCGGCAGGCGTCGATGTCCGTCGGGTCGAAGTCTGCGGCAGAGCAGTATACTAGATTTAGGGTTTGGGGTTTAGGGACTATAGTCACTATACCGTGGGCGCGGCAACATGCCCGAAGATGACCGAAGAGGGACTGGTGTTTTGTGTGGCGGCCACTTGGCTCCGCATCACGGCTTCGGTATCTATCAGTAACCTTGGCCCTGGCGCTTCAATTTTGAGAAACACCTATAATGCGCTTGCTAGGCATGGCGATGGGGCGTGTCACAGCTCAGAAAACCCGCGAGGCTTCAGGATCATCTTTGCCCCCACTTTTTTCTTCCACAAGGCTCACAGGGCCGAATCGATGCCCTTAAGTTGCGAGGTGCAGCAGCTCAAGCTCAGCTTGCCCCCCCTGGCCTTCCACCTTCTCGGACAGCAAGTACGAGTACTTGCGGAACCTGTGAAACTCTTGGACTGTGCTCCAGGCTGAAGCTTCAGGACAAAGCTCAGCCACGAACTCCAAGTTTACCACCAGATCCCGAACCATCTGCAAAAGCAACGGAAGGGATGGGTCACACCCAAGCCCTGGAGGAACCGCAGAACTCGTGGACTGCCCTGAGGATTCGGTGGCGTCTGTGGCACCGCACTTCTCGAGCACTTCCAGCGGCCCTTCGCTGCAAATGTCCACCGTCTGGGCAAGGCCGGGCAGGGCTTTGCAGTCGAGTCTCTTAGGCACTTGCTCTACAGACTATGGCAGAACAACCAAAACATCAAGGGCTCTGAAGGAGATGCATGTTTGAAGCATTTCGGCAGTGGCCTGGTTCTCTGTGCTTCAGGGGCTCACCGGCAAACAATGCTACTCGTCTGGAAGGCATAAAATTCTGTCACCCGGTGCATCGAAGAGGATTGACAACATGAGAGCTCGACGAGCCTTCTGAGTCAGCAGAACTGCACGTTCGAGCCTGGGATTTGCAATTACGTGTCGCAGCGTAAAGATTGAGACGCAGCACACAGCAACTCACGGTAATGGTACCTGGCAAAGGCATGTGCATCGTAGACATCTCCTTCGACCAAAACAGTCGTCGCAACAAGCGCATGCCCCCCACAGTCTGGACGCACAACCTTTTGCAGAGCCAAGCTGATGGCAGAACAGCCCGCACTGGGCTTGCTCGTTAACTTGTGCGAGGTACGCGGGTAAAGACGTCTGCGCGAGTCAGTGCACAAAACTAAGCCGACCACCCGTTAGCTGAATACTCAAGACAGTAGCCTTCCCAACCATATCAGCCCAATTTGAAGCCCTTCAAGTTCCCCTGTCTTCGGTGCGAACTGCTGAAGGAACACCTCAGACGCAGTGCCAACATCTTGCCTTTGGCAGGGCGCTGAGACCACGAGCTATGCGACTCCGCAGCCAGCTGAAACCCACCACAAAAAAACGTGGAATGACATGTGAGGCTACATGCCGGGATCATCCGCTGTTCGGAGAGCCCTGGCCCTGTCCCCTCAGCGCCCGCCGCCGAACCAGCTCTTTCGGGCTCGGCTCGGCTTCTTCGCAACCTCCTGGCTCCCAGCTCAATCAGAGTTTCCTAGGAATCTGACGGCCTTGGCCCAAGGCAGCTGGAGGTGGGCTGCTTCTTGTATCATTGTATCAGTGGCCGACGTGGAGCCGCAAAAGCAAACAGCACCCACGCACAAGCGTCTTAACACTTCCCCTATATGCGCGACAATACTTCGACAATGCACCAAAAAGCAGACCCATGTCCTTCTCCTCTGCCGGAGGTGCTGCAGGCTGCTCAGTTGGAATCGCATGCTGCTCGGGTGGCTCTGCATCAAAGCGAGTCTGCCTCAGGAGCTGTGGCAGGAGCAAATTCACAAGCTTGGAGTGGTTCTCTTGTTTGTGGGGAAACGAAACTTAATGAAACAATAAACCTTTATGTCGAAGACAGCAAACTACGCGTTTAGCGGTTCATGTTGCTCTGAAGTTCTACCTTGTCACTTGCCATCGGCGTCACAAAACATGCACAGATGGGCGTTTGATCAACAGCAACTCCGCACTGGTTGCAGGCGCGAATGTGGCAGTTGCACACAGATATGTCTTCGCTTACGATCCGCGCAAAAGCTCCAGAAAACACCGAGCACACATGGCACAGGTGAATGGAATACCAAAGCGACAGTACCCGCACATTTAACCGGGGGTTGGGACTCGGGCATACAGCTGAAGCGGGCTGGACCTTGTATTATGACGACACATTATAACGATGCACAAAGAAAGAGCTCGCAGTGAACTTGGGCCGCGGCTTTGAGGTGGTGCTGCCGCGGAGCGCAGGACTGGGAACAATAGGTGTGAGATCGACTTCCGAGCACGACGAAGGACGAGATCGAGACATAACAACGATCCATTCAGCAAGTGTCGCTCTGGGCTTCGAAAGATGAGAGGCTGGCCAACCCTAGCCCTAGCCGTCATATTGCTGATGGCTCCAGTTGGGAGAGAGGTCCCAGGGTGATCCCGGGTACATGGGCACAAGGGCACGCAAAGGCCACGGCAAGGGCACTGCAAGGACACAAGGGCACAAGGGCGCAAGAGGGTAGCACACAGATTGGACGGGCGAGGAAGCAATCCGTTGGACAAGATGCCTGGAGGCCCTCGGAACCCAACTGCCCTCCCGAGAGCCAGGCGTCTCTTCCGCATGGCCAGTGGGCGCCGAAACCTTGGGTGCAAATGCGCCGAACCACCCTTAAGTCGGTGACTCCTCGAAACAAACCTCTTGCCTTTCTCGTCTCGTCTTACTTTGCATGTGATGATCAGGTCAAACTGGTTCTCGACACTTCTTTCACGACGCATTCCAGATGCCACCGTAATTGAGGCTTCTTGTGGAACTTAACCCGGAGTTTAAACTACCAAGTTGCCCCAGCCCCCGTGTCGGCCGGCACTGCACCTCCAGCTTCGGCCGGAGCCTGCAAAGCCAAAACCCAACTTCCAGCACCTAAGTCCTAGACCGGCAGTTTTGTTCGAAGCTTCAGCTTCGGGCTTCAGTCTCCGGGATTGGATGGACTGGGATTTGAGGCGGGCTGTCGGGCTCTTCGCCTTTCCTAAACACCGATCCCCACTCTCTTGAAACAAATCTGCGCAAAACTTCAATTGCCGCAGACCAGCGCCGAGTTGTTGACACTCGAAGGAGCATCGACAGACATATTGCTGGCTGCTACAGGTCCTCTTTCAGTCGCCCCTTTCGACGGTGTCACCGCGCACCCTTGCTGCGACTATGCTGTCAGATGCATCGCCGCCCGGTAACTCGAACTGCCGCCAGCCTCGGCGCCGCGGTCGTCCGACACAGTCATCTCGGAGTCCTTACGTGCCAAAAGCACAGGGTGCGGCGGCACATTCCATGTTCCGGATTGCTGGAATCTTATGTTTTCGCTCGGAGGCTGGGGGGAATCTCATATCAACATATCCTCTACCTGTTTGCTTACAGTAGCATCCCAGCACACGGCCGGCACTTTTTCCGCAGCGAACACCAGGACTTAGGCCCGCTTTGCCAAGGCTTGAGGGGGATACCGCGCGTGCAGGTAGATGCTCAGTGCCACCTCGTGCTGGCGAGCTGTTTCAGGCCGAAGCTGGGAAGACGAGTATATCACTTATATCAGCGTACCTTCTTAAAGAAGGACATCAGCAGCCAGCATCTTCTTGGCTACGTTGCCTCTGCAAGCAAGCCCTCAGGAACCACTCGCGACTGAAAGTTATCCCAAGCCCCTCAAAAAGCGTTGCTGTAAAGGTCCAGAGCCACAAGCGGCACCGCAACGACAGCTGACCAACTAAGTTCTTTGCCCTCCACCGCCCACTTCAGCAAGCCTTGTCACTGTTGAACCGCAGGGCGCAATTAAGTAATCAGCCATGGGGCTGTTTTGGGTGCGTGGTTGCAGCTGCTGGTGAAAGGAAGTTACATCTCGACGTCAATTGATCCAAGATCCATGCTGAAAATCGCGTTTTGCCTCTAACGGCAACAACACCGGTCCCTATCGCTCCACCTGCAGTGAAGTCAAGCCTTGCAACTGCGACTATTTTGACTATGACTATGTGGCTTTTACGTGTGTTGGTTCCACAGCAGAAAGCCTTCAGTTGCTCGCCTCTTCTAGTACGGGGTCTAAAGTGAAGGCTCAGAGACACGGAGCCGCACTTTCGACTTACAGGGAATTGCGTGGGATCCTACAGTAGCACTTTCTCATCGAGGCTTGCGGTTCTCCAGGTGTTGGATGGAGTGTGCCGGCATAGATGTTGGAATCATGCACCCCAAAATCCGCCTCAATCGAGGAACAATCCCTGAAGCAACGGCCAACTCGGAAGATGCGAGCCCCATCTTCAGACTTCTGAGCCTGAGCAGCCAAGGGGCAGGTCAAGAGGAGGCCAACCATCACAGCAAAGCCCTTGCGAACGCTCCCAGATGTCTTTGCAATGAGGCCAACCACGATGCCACCCCAGCCCTTTCATGCTTTTGGTCAATGCTGCTACTTTGAGGCTATCTCGGGCCGGTTGACTTTCGTGTTCCGACACCGGCAACAACTGCGTAGGATTCATATCATAGAATCTTGCGTGAAGAGCAATGTCCGTCTGGGGTGCTTCAGGCTGTGGGGTTGAGGGGCATTGAGGGGGGGTCTTTATGGTCCTGCGTCAGGACCGGGATGAGGGTTCGTCCGGTCCATCGCTCAAAGAGACCCTCCTCCTGCTGATTGCCTGACTTTGAGAGGCTCAGGTGGGCGTCTGCTGCACTTGGAAGCACCCGAACAATTCAAAAAAACAGGGCCGAACATGGGCACAAGCCGCTCAAGAAGCGACCCGCAAAGATCGCAGAGCAGCCAAGCACGGCCATCTCACAGCTAAAGAGGTAGCTGTTGCGCTGTTCTCGCTGTAGAACCCACTCGGAGACTGCCCCGCCGAATCCGGAGAGTGCGGATGCAGACACGATGCAACAGATGCCCATCCAAAAGCTCTCAGAGCTCGACGCCGAAGCCGAGCTCGAGGCCTTTGCCTCCTTTGCCTCCGAGAGACTCACGAGGACACCAGCGAAGGACAAGAGCAGAAGCGCGCAGCACTGCGCGGGAGATTGCCGCCTTCCAAGAATCAGGTAGACGAAGAAAGCCGTGAAAAGCATCTTTGTCTGGTTCAAGATGTTAAAAACGATGCCGTCCAGCTGTTGATACGCCACCTGTTAGGGTGTAACATGGTTTAACACTATGGGGCGGGGCTTTCTGCTCCGTTGTGGCGCAATGCACCAGCCTGGATGCACAAATTCTGCAAGAGGTAGCTCAGCGAAGGAAGGCCCGCTGCCATCAGAAAGCTTTTGAAGGACCAGCCTCGAGCTACGTCCTTTTCGCAAGCCCAGGTTTCAAGATATGCCAGTGCTTTTTGCTTTCGAAGGCACCGGCATACCTACTTACTTACATATACCTGCCTCCCTATACTTCCCTGCCTCCCTACCTCCCTCCCTGCTGCGCCTGCCTGCCGTCTACCTCCCTGTGGACGGATGGAAGGATGGATGGATGGATGGACGGACGTTGGGATGGATGGATAGATAGGTCGATAGATAGATACTGTACCGCTAAGCCAGAAACAGCTAGAAACAGAGGCGATAGATATACAGATAGATAGATAAGTAGTAAGATAGATGGACAGATATACAGACAGACAGACAGACAGACAGACAGACAGACAGACAGACAGCCAGGCAGGCAGGCAGGCAGACAGACAGATTGACGCACAGGCCGACAGACAGACAGATAGATACCGATAGAGAGAGCAGACAGCTACCAAGATAGACAGGGACAGATAAATAGTCAGATATAGACAGATATATTGGCGGACAGATAGAGGGACAAACAAAAAGGCATACGGATCGACAGATAGATATTTGGGAAGGTAGGTGGGTAGGTCGGTCCGTCGAGGTAGGTGGGCAGGTAGGTAGGCGGCAAGATTCGGTAGGCACATAGGCAGGTAACCAGATCCAGGCAGGCCAGGTAGGTAGGTAGATGGATAGATAGGTAGATCGATAGATAGATAGATAGATAAGCATATAGATAGATGGCAAAGGATATAAACAGCTACCGATACAGATAACAGAATGAAATCGTACACGCGAACAAACACACTATAACGACTACTATTGTTGTCGTCGACATAGAGCTGGCTCTTTCTACCTGGAGGAAGCAGCTGCAATCCTCCATGCTGGCATCTCATCCTTCTGATCTTCTGACAAGTGTTAGTGTCATTGGAGTTGCTGTTTCTCCACTACTGGCTGAAAACCGAAACTTCCGTCGGTCCTGGAACTTGCCTTCAACTTTCAGCAGTCCCAAACACGCGAGGACCTGTCACGCAGCTCATGGGCGCACCAGGTGGCGATGAAGTTCTAACAAGATCCATGAAAGCACTTGTTATGAGGGACCCAGGGGCCTTGGCAGCCTCAGCACCCAAGACCAGACTTGGCACTGGCGTGCCCTTGGAAATGCATCGTTTGGCGAGAAGTGGCTGTGCGCCGAATTGGACAGCGTGGAGAGCCAGGTATCCTCAGGCTCAACTCACCCCCCTTCCCACTGATGGAGTCTCTATGCTCTGAAAGTATGATGACACTTCAAAAAATTCTCAAACAAACCCTAAACCCTAAACCCAGAACTGGAACGAGTGTATCTTGGTTTCCCCATTCAGCGCTATTCCATGCAAGCGTCCCAACCCGTTGTGGGCGGCCAGGATGGCATGGAGAGCCATAACGACATCGCACAAGAAACCTACTGGTTCAAATTATCTTATATATATATATATAGAGAGAGTTTATATTATATTCTATATATTATGTCTTATATATTATATAGTGTATATCATCTATTATATAGTATATATTAATCAATATAGATTTATACTATATATTATATATTATAATATTATATATCATATATTATATAGTATATTATATATTATATAATTAACTGCGTACTGGCTGCTGGCTCGGAAAAGCACTTGGCCTGTGGGAAAAGCACAGAAGTTGAAACGAGAAAGCTGTAACGCTTGCCTGATGAGAGACCTTGCCAAATTCAGTGGACATGTGGGCATGTCCATGCATGGGTGAACGACGACCGTTGGCGTAGCCAGTGCTTTGCCACAATAAGTAAACAATAATAATAATAACAATAATAATAACAATAATAACAATAATAGTTCCGGGTAGTTACAATATCGCAAGTTGACTCAGGCAAGCTTGAAGGCTTGAAGTCTCCGCGGGTCAAACAGAGCCTGTGGCTGCTGTCGTGCATGAACAAGTACCATGGCATTGACAACTACCGAGCGCCAGAAGCTGTGGGGCAATTCTCATGCGTCTTCAAAAGGACCAAGCTTTAAGTCACTTCTCCATCGGATGGAGGGTTCGCAGAGACAGCCTGTATTTCAGATCTGCCCAAGTACGTTCAAACCCGCAACACTTGCACAAGCGACGGCCAAATTGAATTCAAGAGGCCCAGATGCTGTCCCAATCATTTTTCTCACTGCAACACTTGCACAAGCGACGACTAAACTGAATTCAAGAGGCCTAGAGTCTATCCCTGCCCGAGTCCTCGAGAAAGCCTTTAAGCAGAATTGTCTTGTCGTCTGCAGTCCGTCATGCCTACATTTCGTGGGCACATCCTGGAACCCTAACTTTGCCAAGCTGCGATGGGGTACAGCGCTGCACTGGTGGCATGTGTTGCCGCAGAGGGTGCCCCGGTGACCAAGCCGCCACTGGCCGAAGGAGCCTGAGCTCTGCCCTCTGGCAACACGGGATTCCGGGATCCGATTGCCAGGTGCTGCCAGGCCACTCTTGCCGGCACTGATGAGGCCGACACCGAGGGTTCGACCGGCGCTGTGCGCCTGGGAGCCCGCTGCAGTGCTTCTCGGCGCCAAGTTGTGGCAGGTTTCTAGAGACATGCCGCATGTCACAGACTCCACTCTCTCTCTGTGTGTGTGTGTGTGTGTTTGTGTGTGTGTGTGTGTGTGTTTGTGTGTGTGTGTGTGCGTGTGTGTGTGTGTGTGTGTTTGTTTGTGTGTTTGTTTGTGTGTTTGT